CGACACTGAGGGTTGTGATCCGTTGCCGGACACAGAAAAAGACAAAAAAAAAAAAAAAAAACATTTCTTCAGATAGTGTAAGAGAATTTTAAACTATGTAAAAGAAAGTTACTGTTCCTCCAGAAATTTTAGAAAATAAGGTATGTGTGTATGGTTAAGCAATAAGAGTTTAGCTATAAAATCCAGTTATTACTGAATGCTTTCATTAAATATATATTTTGCTCAAAAATAATGTCCTTTGGGCCGGCCCGGTGGCGCACTGCTACAGTGCACCGCTTGGGAGCGTGGCGGCGCTCCCGCCGAGGGTTCGGATCCCACATACAGACCAGCCGCTCACTGGCTGAGTGAGGTGCGGGTGCAACACCGTGGGTTGCGATCCCATAGCCGGTCCCGGTCCGGTACGGGCGCGACACTGCGGGTTGCGATCCGTTGCCGGTCACAAAAAAAGACAAAAAGGAAAAAAAAAATGTCCTTTGCTTTCCTTCAATACCAGTGTAGAACTTGTAACATACTGTTATCAACTTTTCTCCCACTTCTGTGATCAAAACAGCACAATACTGCTCGAAACAGCTGCAAACATAGGTGGTTGTTTTTATTCCTACTTATGAAACTAGTATCTAATTGGGATTTAACCAACAGCCACCTACAAAGAACAGACCATATTCTCTAATTAAAAGACCAAATTAATATCCCACTGGAACTATAAAAACTCATGCTGTAGGAAAATGCCTACATTTGTATCATAAAGGATGGAGTGGTCAAGCTTATGAGAGAGCAGGCATAAAAGGCTTCTCAAAGTATGTGACACAAGAATTAAATTTTGAAGGACGGGTATGCTACAGTCTGAATGTTGGTGTCTCCCCAAAATTCGTATGTTGGGATTTAACCCCCTAGATGATGGCATTCTGGGGTGTGGCCTTTGGGCAGTAGGTTAGGTCATGAGTGCTCTGCCCTCGTGGATGAGATCAGTGTCCTATAAAAGGGTGTGAGGGAGCAAGTTTGTACCTTTTCTTTGCCCTTACATCATGTGAGGACACATAGAAGGCACCATCTATGAGTAACAGGTCCTCACCAGACATTGAATCTGCTAGCTCTTTGATCCTGGACTTGCCAGCTTCTATAACTGTGAGTAATAAATTTGTATTGTTTATAAATTACCCAGTCTGAGGTATTTTGCTATAGCCACTCAAGTGAACAAAAATAAGGTAGAAAATCATTGGCGGTAGTAGGGAAAGGACACCCACTTATCCTTCTGGAAATACTTGTTAGCTAAATAATCAAAACTCAAAGATTTAAAAAAAAAACAAAAAACTCAAAGATGGGAAAGATATAGCATTTTTAAGAACAGCTGGTTAGCTTAGTTGGTAAGAGCATGGTACTGGTAACGCAAAGTTCAAGGGTTCAAATCCCTGTACCAGCCAACTGCCAAAAAAGATATGACAAGTATTGCATAATTGTTGCTGACATCATTACGAAACATAATGCAAATGTCAGTATTATTGAAAAAAAATGTTACTGAAATAAATATAATAATATAATAATATAATAATAAGAGAGGTTGGTGGAAAAGGTTTGAATAAAGGGAAGAAGAGAGTCATATTGTATCTCTCATAAGAGGAGAGTCAACAAATTGTTTTATTTTTAATGTTAGTAGAGAAATATAGGTTCATTTGTTTCTCTATCTGGTTTATCCACTTTATTTATTTTAGAAAATACTATTCTAAAGTATAGAATGTTTAAGTACAGAAAATCTGAGAATGGCAAAATGTACAAGATAGGTGGGAAAAAATAAGAAGAAACGCCCCAAAATAAAAGTATAAAGTAATATAAGTGAAATTAAGTATGGCAGTTATCAAGAAATATAACCATCAAAGAGAAAGATAAAGTTAGATCAACCAAATGGTCTTTATAAGAGAAATACTTAAAGTAACACAAATAGGTTACAAATAAAGTGAAAAACAGGCCAAGAAAATACAAAGAAAGCATGGGTTTCAAATGTCAACATCAGGCAACATTTCAAGGCAAGAGACATTAAATGGGGCAAACTGATACAAAATTACAATGCAGCTAGGCTTAGCTGGTTAGACCACTGCCTTCTAACACCAAGGTCATGAGTTCGGATTCCCAAACCAACCAGCCAAAAAAAAAAATTACAATGAAGCTATAAGAGAATAAACTTTTATGGGTCAAATAATTTAGCACTGAAATTCTGTCTTTAATAGATAAACTATACAAAAAGAATAAGAATATAAATAATTTAATTATATAAATGAAAAGTTTAGTCTAATGCTAAATCCAACAAATAGAATATACATGTAAAAAGATATTTATGGAAAATTTACAAAAATACATCATATACTCAGACTACAAAGTAAAAAAACTCAATAAAATGTTTTTAAAAACTGATATTCAAGAGACTTTTGAAATTTATTTGAATGAAATTAAACTAGAAGTAAGCAAACTAGAAATAAATAAATAAACAAAACATATGGTAAAGCACACTCTCTCAAACACCTTTGGGTCAAATAAGAAATCAAAACTCAATCACAAATTAGAAAATAATAATTTATAAAATTTACACATGACAAAAAAAAAAATCTATCTTTGCACTCAAGTCTGAACAGTTCCTTATGATAGATTTCTAGCAATAGAATGGAAGTGAAGGTCACTGGAGTTGAGGGAGTCAAGGAACTTCTAGGAGTTAGTTAAACAGGTGATCCATGTGGTCAATGAAAATTCCCCATAAGATAGCAGGAGCTGAGGCAGAGCCAAGGATGAAGGCCAAAGTGCCCAATGAATTTGGAAAAATCACCAAGAGGCGAAAACATGAAAGAAGTCAAAGGACATCAATCCAGAAATTTAGAGCAATTAATTAACTGAATGGAATATATAAATGCTTGATTTTCACTCTAATAATAAAAGTATAACATCAATTCCTTAAGTGTGATAGCCACACTATCAATAAATATTTGTTGCCCAATTAATATGAAGATGTTCTAACTACTTAACTTCTCAGTAGTTTGATCAAACCAGCTAGAAGGGATAGCTGCATGGAAACTTCTAGATACAAGGAAACATAAAATATACAAATTCAATACACAGAATATCCACATAATAATTCATGTGACTAAATGAACCCGAGCTCGGAGAAGCTGGCCAATGGATGTCTTTATTTTGTCCTGTCATCCTTTTAAGGTAAATCTTTACTTACGCAGGTTTCATCAATACTTTGACAAAAAAGGACATGCATATTTAGGTTGTTTTATACTATAACCTTGGACTTGATCTTAAACTGCTAAACTGTGTTAAGTTATAATCAGCTTGTAAAGTTCTCATAGTATTGTATTAGAAAGGCTTAAGGAGGAAAAATTTCTTATTAGTGGAATTGTTTTTTTCCTGGGAAATGAGAATGAGTTTTTCAACTCTGAAAAAAGATAAACCTTCAGTTTAATACTAATAAAACCAACCTGTAATTTTTGCTGCCTTTTCCTCTTGGTCCACTCGGTTCTCATCATCATCTTCATTATCTTCTTCAAAGTCATCTAAATTGCCAATGTCAGCCTGCTTCATACTCATCAAACTAGCCAAACTTTGCATGTCTTCGTCCCTACATCAATGGTTTAAAAATATAATACACAGTTGATTAAGAGACATTGCTTGAAAAATGATCATTTCTTAAGAAAATAATATTAATATATTTCTTCTTTCTATAAGATATGTCAAAAAGTCTTTTTAAACAGTTATACAAGGGGCCGGCCCAGTGGTGCAATGGAGAGTGCGCCGCTTGGGAGTGCAGCGGCGCTCCCGCCGAGGGTTCAGATCCCATGTGGAGACCGGTTCCCACTCACTGGCTGAGCGCGGTGTGGGCGCAACACCGAGGGTTGCGATCCCGTTGCCGGTCAGTAAAAAAGACAAAAAGGAAAAAAAAAAAAAAAAAAAACAGTTATACAAGAATACTGAAAAATCTAAATACTCATATTCATCTTTTTAAACAGCATGTTTAATTGGTGAAAAGCAAACAGGATTAAAAACTAACTGGTTAGGAGTTAGTTTAATTCTATACTGAAGATCTACGGAAGACTAAAAACTTCTTCACGGAATTAATGTATGGTCTCCTGAGCATAAAGTCTGGGGGGAAAAAAACTTGATTCATAGAACAGTAGGACAGTTTGATAATTAGATAAGATCTAGACTTTAAAATAGTCAAGCTTTCAGGCTGGCCCGGTGGCGCACTGCTACAGTGCGCCGCTTGGGAAGCGCAGCAGCGCTCCCGCCGAGGGTTCGGATCCCACATACAGACCGGTTCCCGCTCACTGGCTGAGCGAGGTGCGGGCGCAACACACCGAGGGTCGCGGTCCCGTTGCTGGTCCCGGTCCGGTACGGGCGCGACACTGAGGGTTGCGATCCGTTGCCAGACACAAAAAAAGACAAAAAGGAAAAAAAAAAATAGTCAAGCTTTCAAAAGGATTTGGAACAGGAATTCTTCATTTAAGTCCAAGAACTCTTTTGAGTTCTTAAGTAGGAGGGAAAGAAAGTGGTAAGCCCCTGTAAATCAAATCAATCTTGCTTAAATATGCATTGTTTTTGAAAGGGGCCATAACATACCCCCCACCTAAAATTAAGAACTACCATAATAAGAAAAGCAACTTAAAAACAAAGTCTGTTTTAAGAATTACAAGATGAAAAATGGCCTGGGCTGATTATAAGTTAAATATTCCATATTTGACAAAATATAAGTACTTTTTATCTTGAAGTATTTTAAATACAAACTTATAAAGTTTACAATAAATACTCAAAAAGTCAAATCATTTAAGTTTTCCTGATCTATATTTTCCAATTATTGAAATTATTAAACTTCAAATAAACTACAGTAAATGAAGCATATTTCTAACATGTCACATACAAATTAATTTTCAATTCGGTAGACTTCCCCAAAATTCAGAATGCCAAATTAAAATACTGTTTCTTTGTAAAGTAATGCTTGTTAATATTCACTTATCTCCTATATATGATATGACTTTATAGAATAAACTGGGTTTTTAAAATTCTTTCCATTTTATCTCATATAAGTTTAAAGTTAACAAAATCATTTCCCTCTTTTTAAATAAATTTAGTAACATACATGAACAAAAAAAGTTGTGTATTACCTTATATTAATGCCTCACAAATTAATCACTTATCAATGAGAGGTAATTTAAAAATATAATAACATTCTTAAAATGTTAACTTGCTTAATTTTACAACTTTAATTCCTTCATATTTTAACCCTGAACAATTTTCTTTCGGGAAGATAAGGAAGCAAGGAAGAAGGACGTAGAGAAAAAGTTTAGTATATTCTAAGAGAATTCCTGTTCAATTCAAATTGAGGCATTTGGTTTGGATAAATTTCCCCTCACCCAGATTCCTGTGAATGGTGCTGATGCACTTGCTGCTTCTGCCCAGGGGAAGGAAGTCCACTCTCAAAGGATCTTCTCTGAATTTGTTTTCTCTCTCCTTTCTGTATTTCCTTTCCTTTCATTTTGGCTTAATCTTCAGGATAAGATTTTTATTTTTAATTTCTCATTGTTTAAAGTCTACAATTTAAGGTCCTGAGATGAAAGATTACAATGCTTCCATTCTGCACTGTCTCCTAACACAGTCTAACTTCCCAGAGAGAAGGCTTACTGTTATCGATGAAGTCATTTGCTGCCATGTAGATGAGTGCGAAACACCTCATTTTGACTGACGCACAGAATCCAGTCTAATCAGTCAAGTAGACATGGCCAATTATAGTAACCACATTCCAGTTGGTCAAATATGTGTACATTCAGAACTGTGATTCAGACTGGATTGAAATGTTCATAGCTGCCTTCTGCCCCTCTCCTTTTAAGCCTAGGCATAGAATTTCCACTTCTCCTATCCCTTCATCTTCCACTCCAATTAGGTACTAATTCTTTCACTACACCGTAACATGCACTTTCCCCTGACTTAATTGTATGTAATAACAGGGTGAATGTTCCTTTTTTACTCCCTCCTGTAGGTATGTTCACCTGATTTTATCCATTTAGAATTCCACTCTTTTAAGAGACTAGAACTGAGCCTAAAAATCTTTGTGCAATACTTATTCACTGCTGAAGTGATTTTTGAAAGGGATAATGATCACAGTAAACTGCTTATCTAACTGTACCTTCCTGTACAGTTTTTGCAAGGCTGAGCCAAGGAATACGAATTGGCAAAAGTTCCCTTAGTTCTCTCATCCTAAACTTTTTATTTTGTCCTCCTTTCATGACTCATTTGCATTTAACAGCTCTACTACTAAAGTATCTGCACATCACAGTACAGATTAATACACTGAAGACACTGAAATATAAAACAAATACTTATGATACCCTATAGAATACAATTAAAAACTAACCAGCTGTAACCACTTTTACATTATTTTTAATCTCTGGAGTCAAAAGAGACTATTTATAAATAACAAGGAGTTTGTTTAACTCAGCCTCTGAAACAAGGAATGGCAAGAATGATTGGTATGCTGTAGGACGTTCAACCAGTTGCCAGCCTACTGAGTCAAAAGCTATTTACCTATGGTGTTTTGAAACACAGTGTGAAGTAATTTGTTTAAAAGAAACTTACGTGGCTTTTCCTTCCCGAAGGAAAATGCAAGATAATGAAAACTGGAGAGTGGCAGACACAACTTTTTTAGACAATGGCTTAAATTTTAACTTGACATCAGTCTGGGTTGGCATAGGGCTTGCATACTGTTTCATATTAATGCTGCTAGTAGCAAGAGCTTTCCTTCGACCAGAAGGGGATTCCTAAAAGATAAAATATTTTAAATTTATTATTTTAATGATAAAATCAAATAACAATTGGGAACTTCCTTCTCCAATGAATTTCTATAACACAAATAAAACTGTGATGAGATTATATCATAGCATTTATATCTTTAAGTAAGGCAGATATTAAATTGGAAAGAGGGGGCACAGGCAGAAACAACAGAAGAGTAGAACAACCCTAAATACCTCAGGAAAATAAAAGAAAGGAAGAAAACTACGACAGAAAATCTTCAGGGGTTCTTTTTTTTTTGGCAGCTGGCCGGTATTCTCTAGTGTTCTGTGATAAGATACAGCACAGAGCGAGGGATCAGGTACTCAACAATTGTTTTCCATTCTTTCATTGTATTTAATGTAACCTAATGATATTTCCCCTTTCTAAACACCTACAATTTTTTATAGAACTCTCAGCCTAGGTGGCACTCCACCTCTTTTTTTGCCTACAGCATCTGAATTCTATCCATCCTATAATTTGAGCCTTATTTCTTTTCAGGACCTTTTCTGATTAATCCAGTCCATAGTTCTCTCTCCCTTCCCTAAGATCACATATATTATGGAAGGAATGGCTGGTTTTCCTGATCCTATGAGCCCATGGCAACGCTATTAACTGGCCCCAGCAGATCTCAATATTTTTCTCAACAATTATTGCCGATTCATCAGAAATGGAACACAAAATGACACCTATTTACTATCAAAGCTATTTAACATTATGTTAATAAGCTACCATGTTTCATAGTTATCATTTCAATAATTCAGATCATGAAAGTAGGACAGTAAAATAATGACCGTGCATTAACTATGTATAAGACATTGTATAAATTTTGGAGAGATATGGTGATTAAGACATAATCCCTGACTATGTGATGTAATGACAAGGGGAAAATTTCAGATGTAGGATAATTTGTAAATAATATAAATCAGAGGGCATATACCATTGTTCCTTATGGTTTACTGATCTGAGAGTTGAAACCAAAGTTTAAGGCTTAATTTCCAAGCTGTGTGACCTTGAACAAATCAGAATATGTGAGTCTCAGTTAACCTTCCCTACAAAATAAGGAGGCTAAACAGAAACCCATCAAGTTCTACAATTATTTTTTATAAAATTACTCAATTTTCCAGCCCAGGTAGGAAAAGCTACTATTAATACATTTGAATTATTATTTAATAAATCTTTGTCTTATGATTGACGAATCTGCCAAAAATAAGGATACACTAATTTAATCATAACATTAAAACAGGCTTTTTCAAAAACCTGACATTTCTGCCCAGCAGAACAAGTAAAAATGTAATGTAGAGTCCCTAAAGAATACCTTGTTTTAAAATGTGGTCTTATCTGTCAGATTATGCACAGCAATATTATACAGAACTATTAGCGCATGTAGATACCTTATGAATGAATTTCAAAATTGCATCAAGCACTTGAGAAGGATTTAAGCCCTCTCAGAAGAAATACTTAAGAATATGCAAATACCCTCAACTGAATCAAGTTGAACAGATGTGACTATCCCAAACAATACAAGTGTTCTTTCCCTGGTTGCTACTGTCAATCAAAGAATAAGATTACAGTCCAAGGTTCTGACAATGTGCAAAATGAAAAGTATGATCAGGGAGTATCAATTTATTACACTGATATGAACAATAATCTCTTACTGTACCTTTAGAATAGCTAACAACTTCTACATGTAATATAGGATTTAAAGCCTGTTTTGAAAGCATGACATACAAACTGTTACATATTTTCAGTTTTTGTTAAACAAATCTGTTTCATAAAATATGACACTAATCCCTGAATGTAATTATTTAATTTTATAACCAAATAAACAATAAAAATTAAGATAACTTGGAAATAAACATAATTTTGAAAGCTCAGTTTAAGGATGGTTAATTATCAAAAAATCAATAATATATTTGGGAAAAAATCTTTGATAATTAACATTCTCTCATCATCTTTTAGAATAAAATTATATAGAAGTTTTTCTGCTGAACTCAGATTTATGGCAAAAGAATGTTTTAAGTATCTGGTAAATCAGTGTCTTCGAAACAATAGGTAATAAAAGCTACTAAATTCTAAACACAATTACATCTTTTAGAATAAAATTATATAGAAGTTTTTCTGCTGAACTCAGATTTATGGCAAAAGAACGTTTTAAGTATCTGGTAAATCAGTGTCTTCGAAACAATAGGTAATAAAAGCTACTAAATTCTTAACACAATTTGCTGGACCACTTAAGCAATTACTTGCTCAGCAACAATGAAAACATCCCTTGGTGAGATCTGGGCAGGTGAGCAGAATAGAGCTCCTTTGAGTCTATACCATCCATTCCTAATATTAATTAACACAGGACCTTACTACTGTCTGTGTCCTTGACATAATCGTTCACTGTTGGGAAAGGGGATCTAGTAACTCTTCACCTAGCTCAGACAGTTTTTTCCTTAAAATTAGCTATCTCAGAAAATACATTTTAAGAACCGTAATGAAAAATACATGGGAATCTTTAGCAGCTCTAACTCCAGATCCATGAATTTTCACTCTTTATAACCAGAGTCTAAATCTTTACTCACTCCAGACTGACATAATTGCTGTCGTCAGTTCTATAAAGAGATCTGAAATAACTGATTACACTGACAAAAATTCGTATGTCTTTTGCATCCTATAGTCCTTTTTTAAAGGATAGGGGTTAGCCAAAGAGAGTCTAGAGAAAATTATGGTTGCCAGAGTCCTAATGCTACTTCAGATCACATGCAGTTTGGACAAGAGAGAACAAGAATGAGAGAAAAAATGTTAAGAGGAATTCCTGGACAATGGAAGTTTGATGACAAGAGTCAATAAAAAGTGAGCATTAACTCACATGTAAGTCTAAATTTGTGACTCTGGGCTAATGTTTATATGTGAATCTGGCAGTACAGCTGGCCCTCTGTATCCCTGGGTTTTGCATCAATGGATTCAACCAACCACGGATCAATAATACATTTGGGGGAAAAAACTGATGTACTGAACATGTACAGGTTTTCCCTTATCATTCATCCCTAAACAATATAGTATAACAACTATTTACATAGCATTTGCATTGTATTAGGTATTATAAGTAATCTAGAGATGATTAAAAGTACAGAGAATATGTGTAGGTTATACGCATATACTATGCCATTATATATCGGAGACTTGAGCATCTGTGGATTTTAGTATTTTCAGAAGGTCCTGGAACCAATCCCCAAGGAATACTGAGGGATGACTGTATTTGGGGAATTAGTTCAAAATCCCTAAAGCAGAAGTTCTTAAGTTTTAGTGTTTATTAACCACCTCCCCCCCACACCCCGCCAAAAAAGAAAACCAAACCAAACCAGGAGAGCTTTTTAAAAATGAAGATGCCTAAATCCTACCCCTAGAAATCCATCTCTAATAGGCCCAGAGATGGACCCAGGAATCTGCTGATTTCTAATAAGTAATACCCCCAACTCCACACAAGCACACCATTATTATCAGATGATTCTGACTCAGTTAATCTAAAATTCACTTTTTCAGAAATACTACCCCTAAGAATGTTTTTACATCAAATTATTTTAATTTAAAAATCTCACTCATGTTTCATAACTATATATTTCCATTTCTTTGAAATCCGGCCTAGTATAGTTGGAATCAGATAAACCTGGGTTAGAATATAGCACCAAAACATATTCACTGGTTAATCTTTGGCAGATTTCTCATCTCTCATTCTTAGACTGGCAAATATTTTTAAAAGTTGAACAATACCAAGTGTTGATAAAGAATGTGGAACGATGCAAACTCTCTTACACTGCGGGAGAGTTTCAACTGAATACACCCACTTTGGAAAACAATTTAACATTACTTTGTAAAGTTGAATACATGCATACCTTACAACTCAGCAATTTCCATCCTAGCAATATGTCCTAGAGAAATTCTTGAAATAATATGAAAATATCTAGTAGAGTACTTAGCATATAGTATGTGCTCAATAAATAGTATTTATTAATAATTTTTATGTTTTACTGTTTTATTACAGTACTATTATAAATAGTCCACCAATGATCACCAATCTTAAAATGAGAAAAATAGATAAATGCACAACTCACTGCAGGATGTTTAAAGTAATGTAGCTACATTATTAAAATTCGTGCATGGACCCCCTATATTCCTGCCAAACCTAAAATGAATTCTCCACCTCAATGTACTCTCATTGCTATTCAGGTAGTAACAGTGCAAACAATAGGTCAATAAACATTTTCTCTGTACATGAGCATAAAAGGGAAAAGATAATAATGTTTCTAATAAGTAATGAACTGATTATAAAATGAATAAATACATTCTAATGAGACTCACTTCATTATAAGTGTTTTTAAGCACTGTAGATTTTAGAAAAAAAGCACACTGCTAATCTTGCCACTTTTTTTCCCCTAAAACTAACAACATGATATATAACATAATGGTAGCAAGCAATGTAGTTAAATGCAGTACTGCTTAGTTCTTATTATAAAAAGGTAGAGAGGATATTTCTTCTCCAAATTATTCAAGCAAGGATTTTCTTAAAGAATAGTTCATTGTATGCTATTTATTATGGACCCTAAGGTGAGTAAAATTAATATAATGCCTTCCCTATTAAAATATTTGACTTTCTATTAAAAGAGATACATGCTAGAAATTTAACTCATTACCATGTAAGAGAACTGTGGGGGTATGGTGGGGTGCGGCCAGAAACTTACTCAGATTTTACAATTTTTCAGAGCTTTATTACATAGAATGTTATAAAAGATTCTGTCATGTACCAATACTTTAATTATTGGGTCTCTTACAAGACCTGAAAATTAAACTAATGGCATTTGAATTTTTTAAAAAATTAAGGAATATATCACATATACTAAAGTATAAAAAAAAGCACTACTTAATGAATAATAAAATGAATATCCTATACTCACCACCCAGCTTAAGAAATAGAACTTTACCAGTACGTTAAAAGCTGCATGTC